GGGGGGGGGGGGGTTCTCTTCCCACACTGTGACCAGGAGGTGTTCAGGGAACTACTCCCTAGCTACCCTGTTGCTGCTGTCCTCTCCCTGGCTGAGCCCAGCTCCTACTCAGCAGGGTTGGCTCTGGAGCTTCAGTGGAGAAAGCAGCAGTGGCAGGCAAGGGAATTGAGGAGGAGGAGGAGAGGAAAAGGGAAGTAGGGGTGTACCTCTGAGCAGGAAGGGGAAGGAAGGGGAAATTTTCATCTGCTTTAGGATCTTTAAAAAGTCCCCAGAAGCTCCTGCAGTGCAGTCTGCCTGGACTCATTAATGAAGGAGTCTGGAAGCAGGAGATACAGCCACCCTTACAATGTGAGTTGCTGCTCCCACAACCACCTTTGGGAAACCCTGGATCTGCCTCTGACTGTGAATATATCTACACTGCACAGTGCAGTTTCGGAAAAGAGTAAGAAGGATAAATTAGTTTATGTAGACCTCTGTGCTAACAAAGTCCAATAACTCACTTAGTTCATTTAGAGCTAGGAATAACAATTTTATACTGTACCACACTATGCTTTGCTGACACATCCTAAGATGGCTGTCAGCCACTTCTGTGCACTCACCTTCCAACCTGGACAAGTGATTTAACTCTTCTAGGATTTTCCCCAATCTGTAGAATGGGATGATCACCATAATACTTTACTAGCTACTAGCTTCCTCAGAATTCTATTTGGGGGATTTATTAGCTAATGCTTATAATAATACTCTGAAAATATGAAGTGCCACAAAAGTACTGTGAAAGGCAGGGAATCTAAATCTAGCTGGCTACCTGCATGTCATTGAACCAATGGAAGAAATAGAGAATTTAAAGGGATATTTGAGACATTTGTTGAAAATGAGAATTAAATGGTTCTTCCCCTGATTGCCCCCCAAATCTGAAAATAAACTCATAGCATATGTTGTGTTACCACATAATAATCCCACCTGACTTTTGGTTGCACTTCCTACACCTTCTGTTACACTAAAATGCCTGCAGCATCAGAACACAAAGAGGATTATCTTGGAAGATAAATTATAGTATAAATTCAAATATGATCAGAACATTGATTTTTTTTTTTTTTTTTACCACATGTAACAGGGAGTTGGGGACTCCCTGTTACTTTAAGGGTGGCAAAGGAGCCCCAGGTACAGGGAGTTGCTTACCAGGAGCCAGGAAAGGCCAGGCAGTAAAGGACTGCTAGGCTACTGGCTCCCAGTGCTGAATATATGGTTTACCAAGAAGATAACTGGGCAGAGTGGCCTGGACAGCAGAGTGCCAAGCGCAGTGCTGGTAGCACAGCAATAGTATTGCAGGACTGACCTCAGCCTGGAGAAGAGGGAAAAGTTTTCAACTAGCAATGATCATGCCTCGGTTCAACCTCACAGGCTATGATACTACCACTTACTACTACAGTAGTGAGACCATCCTGGGAACCTAACTGAGAGCACCTGCAGCTGGCGATAGGAAGGCACATGACTCCCAGGGGCATGGCTTAATGGATATATGGCTGAGTCTGGGGAGAAGACTGCCCCTGCAGGCGGAGGGGAAAGAGCTCCTCAGCAGAAAGGTTACAAAGGACTGTCAGGCTGTCTCCTGAGCTAATGTGGGATACTGCAGGGGAAAATGACTAGGGTAGCAGCAGGTTTGGGTTGTACTACCAAGGAGGTGAAATTTATGTTTGAACCTAGTGTAGGGAAGTTTGTGTTACAGCTAACAGGCTTATTCTTTGTTTGTTTAGAGTTTAAATCGGAGGACTGGAAAGGGATTAGCAAGGAAGGTTTGGAGATCCCAGCTGTGTCCAAGGGGCATGTGGTTAACCTGTAAACTCAGCACAGTCTTAGGCTCCAGACCCAGCCTGGAAGCTGCCTGAAAAGGGGAAGCCTGAGCTTATGAGGGGCAAGACCAGAGCCCCTTGAGGGGTGAAACCTGAGCCCAGAAGGAGGCAAGACCACAGTCAGACTCACAGGAGACTGAGGGGGGATCTTGTGGCTGCCTACAACCTTATCAGGGGCCAGCAGCAGGGACTCAGGGAAAGTCTGTTCACCAGGGCCCCCCTTGGAGTCACCAGGAACAATGGCCACAAGCTGAGGGAGGATAAGTTTAGGTTAGATATTAGGAAGAACTACTACTTCACTGTAAGGGTGGCCAGAGCCTGGAATAGGCTTCCCAGAGAGGTGGTGCTCTCACCTTCCCTGGAAATCTTCAAGAGGAGACTGAATAGGCACCTGGCTGGGGTCTTATGACCCCTCCCACCCCCAGTGCTCCTTCCTGCCCATGGCAGGGGGTCGGACTCAATGATCTGTCTAGGTCCCTTCCCACTCATTGATTCTATGATTCTATGAACCCTGGCACAGGACACAGCCTGTCCGACTCGCAAAGAATTTTCCTCTCTACCTGAACAAAAACTGATTATGAAAGACAATGAAGATGCAGTGGGAGACGCACCTAAAGTCCTCCAGATAAGAGTGACAAGAGTGAAACAACTGCCCTAGGTCTCATTAGCATCTGAGATGGAACCAGATGACAACTCATTTAAATGGGAGATGGAACAGGAATGCATCTTCATTAGCATTCAGGATGGAGAACAGAGATTCCAAGGCAAGGATCGCACTGAATTCTGGGATCAGAAAAGCAGGGGAGCACTGCATGATGGGGAATCTGTACCCCAAATGCTAATCAACCCACATTTACACACACCCAGCTCAGCATTTATCAGACCAATTCTAACCTGGACTTACAAAGGACTTCCCCCCCCACACACAACCTCATCTAACCAGAACTAAGCAGAAGTAAGGTTTAATAGGCATCTCAGGCTGTACATTCCCTGGTCCCACTATGGGAGGCCTATTTAAACTTGATCAACTAAAAGTCGGTTGCCGGGTTACAGAATGCTGAGGCAAAGAGACTGAGTCAGAGCAGGTATGGGCAACATTTGAACAATGGTAAAGGACTCATCACAGTGTCCAGCCCGTTGGAGCCCTGACCACAAATGCTGTCATACTTTTCCTGGGATGACTGGTGGAAGTCCTCCCCACAAAGTTTATAAACACTCCAAGTAATCCCTTGAAGTAAGATCTGGAAGTCCTGCTAAACTGAGGCTTATTCACAACAGGTAAAAATACAAAACCCTGACGCTGCAAGCTATCTATTGTTTCTGAAGAAACAGTGAGGTATCCCATCCAGTATATCTGCTATCCATAAGAATTTCAAGGTGGCTCCTAAGTGTCTGGTTACTCCTTAACCTTATGTTTTTCCTGGTTATTGATCAGTTTCTTCAGATGTTCCAAACCAGATAACCCTTTGTCAATAGAAAAGACAATTATTTACACAATTAAAAGAATGCTTTGAAGAATCTGAATTGAGGGTTTAAAAAGCTGTAAAATCAGCAAACGGTGTGCTTCAAGAGAAGAACTCTGACACCATCCGCTGTTGTTTTTGAGAAGCTGGAAGAAACAGATCGCCTCCCTTCAAGGATTGTGCTAAGAACAATCATTGTCAGCATTGGAACACGAGTGCCTTGGACTGGTGAACTCCCAGCTCTTGCTCTTTTTCTCTCTTTTCTCTCTAGGCATAGATTTCTGAACCTGAACTGTATTAGTTAAGCTTGACCTAAGTTTCCCCAAATACCTAGTGAAACCAGGGTAGTGTTGTAATTGTTTGTGTTTGTTTTCCTTTGCATGTCTATTACTATTAGTACCATTATATATTTCATATACTTAGCAATAAATAACTTTTATAGTCAAACTGGTGGTAACCGGGTGTATGTTTCCTTCTCTAGTTTCCTTTCCCACTTGCTCTGCAGCAATGCTTCTTTTACCTAAGCCAAAGATCCCTGTGAAGCCCAGAAATACTGTGGGGCCTGCTCATCAAGAGGCTACCACTACTAGGACAGTTAGGGCAAAAGATTGGGACGTGCTGAGTTTGAAACACATAAGGGGATCAGCTTGTACAGGCTGATTGACCCAGTTTGGCTCAGATGTTCCCTAATGAACTGAATACTGGCCCGTGAGGGTGTCATCTAGATACCCAGCTGGATTCAGAAGTATTCTGTTTACCTGTGTACCTGTGTCTGATTGCATTTTATTGTTACCTTAATGAACCGATTCCTGGTATATGAGGGTGTCAGCCTGTCCATGCTGATCAACCCAGCTGGGTCAGGCGTGTCACGTTAATCTGTGTGTGTTTGTGTGTATGACTGATTTGGTGACTGGAGGAACCCAGCCCCATTGGAACTGAGTCCTGCAAGATATCTCCACTGGGGGTGAGGACTTACAGAAGGGAGAGATACAGCTCCGTATGCAAGCACAAGTAACACAAGCAGCACATTGATAGCGTTACAAAGACCCTAGAAACGTATCCCTAATAAATGAGCCCACCCCAAAGGGATGGGCAAATCTGGTAACACAGCGGTGCTGGGGAGTACCCCAACCAGAAAAGAAGAGAACCTGAAGAAAGGGATCACTGGCCAAGTGATTGAGTAACCAGGGGCAGAGGAGACAGATGGAGTAATGGACCTGGAAGAGCTAATAGGTCTGGGGAAGTTTTGGGTGGAGCAGGTCAACAATGAGAGCTTTCAGCATGCCTACTTAGAAGGGTTGGCCAAGTGCAAAGAATCAGCTTGTACACCCTGAGCTGATGAAGACCTGGCCATGTTTCAAGGTAAGGGCTGATTTCTGCCCAGCCCAAGCAGTGCATGGGGTTTGGGGCCCAGGACCATGTGTGGCCACAAGGCCCAGGCAGGGAGCAGGATGGGGCCACAGGTGGCTCATTTGGGGGGCAGGGTGGGGACTGGCTGGCTCCCTGCTGCTGCACACATTCCCGTGAGGGCCTGGGGGGCACGTGCACCCCAGATTTGTGCACGGGTTGGAGGCAGGCTGCCTGCTACAGGATATTGGCTCCCTGCCCTGCTACCCTCCCAATGGAGCCTCCGTAGCCCAGCAGATGGGAGCTGGTGCAGCAGAGGAGAGTGGGGCCAGGCAGGGAAAATTGGTGCCACCACCATGATCCCCTCAATGCTATGGCAGGGTGCCCCCTGCCTGCCCAGCAGCAGAGGGCACACGCCTACACCACCACCCCCACTACTACCAGGCAGGCAGGGAGCACCTCACCATGGCAGCATGGGGCTTGTGGTGGCACCACCAAGCTTCCCCACCCAGCCCCACTCTGCCCTGCCATGCCAGGTCCTGCCCACTAGGCCACAGAGAACCCAGGGGAAGGGCAGCAAAGCAGGGAGCCCAAACCTGCTGTGGGCAGCCCCCCCTCTCCCCCCAACTCCCATAATTATATCACTTATTGTTTTCTAAGAAAGTACAGTCTTGACCATACTGTGTCAAGAGTGATTATGCAGAAGCTCCCATTTAAGTTAGCTTGCTGAAAAAGACATGGGATAATATGCCTTCTGTTTTTGTGCTGTAACATTTAAAAAATGTATAAATCATTGGTTCTCAATTAAGATGCCACAGGATCCCCTCAGAGGTTCCATAACACAAGGCACCACCGCTACCACAGAGGCCAGGTAAAACTGGTATATGCATAGAGTACAGCACTTGCACATTCTTCTTGCATTAGGATACTCTGATAACCCTAAAGCTAGCAAAAGAATCAGCTCATGCTACAGACCTTCCCAGACTGGTCACCCATGCATGCTTCTCTCAAACACAGACATGTGCTACAGTTTTACCCATCCTGTATGCCTCTCTTTCCAGAAGATACTGTATAGGTCAGACCTGGAAAGGCAACTGCATAAGCTGGCTCTCCTGCCTGCTTTATGGTTATCAAAGGACCATAATGAGGCAGGAGAATGGATTTGAACTGTAGCCCTATCTAGCCTGGCTACACAACAGGCACAAGGCAATTTTACCTGGAGGCAACAGCAATACCTAGGTTGAGAACCACCAAGGTAAGCTGAAAGAGCACAAACAGTGACTCTCAACCAGAGATGTCACCACATTCAAAGAAAGTAGTGGAGGGGTGCCCTGATTCTAAAACCACTGAAAACCACTGATATAAATAAAAAGTAAAAAATTCTGACCCAAAAGTTTATTAGGAATCAAGTATCACCTTTCACTTCTTATACATTAAAAAAATTAAAACTTACAGAATGGATGAACTTGCTTTGACAAATTCATCCTGTGTCTTTTCCCAGAAGTTATGTAAGCACTATATATTTTGTCAGTTTTGAAAAACTGAAATTGCTTCTATATGAGGTAGGAAAAGATGAAAGAAAACGCTCATATTATAGGATTAAGACATACCTGATCAGTTAGCGTTGGATTTAAATCTATCTTCAAAAATCGGAATGTTATAACAGGCGTGACTGAAACCACGGTAGTCAAGAGAATGACAAGCCAAACACTTATCTGGCCCAGAGAATGACGGGCATTTCCTATTAGCACAAGAAAATGAAACATGTTTGTTAGGAGTGCAAGACTGATGTTAACAGTTTGCAAGTGCGAGACGTATTAAATTCTCTCTTTTGTTTTCCTTTAGGTCAACATGCATTTTTATTATAAAAATACTTGAATTCTTCTAGATGTAGAAAAATGTACCGCTAAAATGACAAAATTCCTTGGCAGCATTTAAAATTTGACACAAGCCAAAATACAAAGTGGACTCCAAAGAAGGATTTAAGATAGTGACTACAACGATGATACAAGAACAATATTGAAAGATGGTACTTGCATGGCTATTTACTAGGGGTGTGCGAATTGGGTCCTTTTCAATTCAGACTCAGCCTGAATCAGGGACAGCGATTTGATTCATTGATTTGGATTACTGTCCCTGATTCAATTCAGCTGAATCCGAATCTGAAGATTCGATGCTGATTCAGACAATCAGCAATTCGGACACAGACACAGCTTTAAATGTTTTTTCTGCATACCTCGAGGTACCAACGTGGCTTGTGAATGCTGCAATGCTGGAGTGCATGGAGTGTCCCACAGGAGTGCAGGGGGGCCCTCCACGTGCTCGGTGGTGAACCCAGAAGTGGACCGGAAATACTTCCGGTCCACTTCCGGGTTCACCATGGAGCATGTGGGGGGGGCCCCCCTGCACTCCTCCCCTTGGTGACTGGCTGTGGGGGAACCACCCAGACCCAGGAGGCATGAGTTGCCAAGCTGGAGGGACGTGGGGGGACGTCCCGCATGCTCCCCAGCAGATCCAGAAGTGGACTAGAAGTGCTTTTGTTCCACTTCCGGGGCTGCTGCCAAGCATGCTGGGGAGCCCCCCCTGCTTCTGTGGGACACTCCATGCAGCTCAGCATCGCAGCATTCACAAGCCGCCTGCTACCTAGAGGTATGAAAAAAAAACATTTAAACCTGTGTCTATATCCAAATCTTCCCAAATCTCTCTGAATTGATTTGGAGGGTTCCAATTCGATTCAGAGAGATTAAAGGGTCCTCTGAATCTATTTGGATTCAGAGATTAGGCCACCGAATTGGGCCAAATCTCCACCGAATCCAATCGGGAACCGAAGCTTCACACAGCCCTACTATTTACGTGTGT